TATTTTCAATATATCATTCAAGATCTCTAATGAAAGTACTGAATGCTAAAACAATCTTTATATCTAATTTTTTTTTTTTAATGACTTACTGCATAGAGATAATTTTAAAACTCAAATGCATTAAAATATAGAAAATTCCACATGTTTAACAGCCTTTTTCCACTCTGTATTTAATTATCATGGAATGAGTGTGCCTAAACTATAAAACACTGGATTTGTATCTTGAATTTTCAACAAATCATTGGCATTGTTACACATTTTGGCAAATTGAAATAATCTCATTTTAAATATATGATTTGTTTGTTTATAATCAATTTTGTAATTGTTGATTTGTGTGAAATATCTTAAAATTTGCTTTATTTATAATGAAAGAAATTTCAAGATATTAAAATATTTACCGAAACAAAGTTTTACTGCTAAATAAGTACTGATAAATAAATTTTTAAAAACAATTCTTTTAAATGGCAATATAAAATAACTAGTACATACTCTTCTGTTTATCAGGACTGCCGAATAACCTTTAAGATAACTTTAGAAAAGGTTATTATCAAAAATTCTATTAATTCTTAAGATTTCTGCCAAAACTGGTAAAAATATAACTGCTTTTCTACTACTTATGCATAATTAGATTGCTAAAGTTCAAATTAGTGATTATAGAATCAGCATTTTTGCATAATTTATTTCATTTAGAGAAAAATTATTTTACTTTGTTTTTCTGCTTGTTCAAATCACATACGGGTCGATGTAGACATTCCTGAACACTGGTAGTTCGGTCCGAGTTCGAATCCCGTGAATGGGCTGGCTGCATGGGCGTTTTCGTGGGTTTCCCCATGTGTAATGTGTATACGAGCCAGTTTCCCTTAGAAAGTCCTCCACGAAGGCATCCCTCCTCTTAGGCAGATAGCCCTCGAGGCTTTGCCATACTCACACACACACAATGTAGACATCCTCCTTCTCTTGGCAGTCGTTTATTGCACTGGGTCAGATCTGTACCTTGGCAGTCTCCGCATCGACAGATAAAATAATGGACCCTTTACCCAGTATCAGAAGGAGCAGTTAATACTGTCTTGAAAGGTAGGTAGGTGGCTTCAGCCTTCCGAGTAGGCTAGCACGACGGCCAGTCCTTAGACTCCTTGCTCTGCACCCTGCATAGTGCATTGAGCCTTGCGGGTGCAACGACCCTTGCTTGAGATGAATGAGCTTTGTTGTGCATGTTTGAATGGACTCGATACAAGAAACCTCATAACTAACTTTGTCTAGTTCAATTTACAAATGAGCTGGTACTGATTTATATAGTATTATAGGAAATTATATTCTTTTATGAATTTGAATGTATTACAAACTTGATTAAAAACTACTAATTGTAATTTTTATGTTACTATTTAAAATATGATTTAAGACAAAAGGTATAAGACTAACGTATGTTTTTATAGTAAATATAAGATAAACACATGGCAAATTTAGAAACACCAAAAATTCAACTTTTGATTGGCAGTGATTTTGAATTAGAAGCTGTTCGCTACTTCATTTGAGCTTTGTAATCATTTAGAAAATGTTTAGAAAAATTAAATTTATACATTGCGTAAAAGATTGGACTTTTAAAATTTCATTACAAATGATGTAAATATATTTATAGAAATATTATTAAGATATTTTTCTACATTTCAACTCATTCAGTATTTATATGTCGGTTACTCTTCTTGATAAACATTATTAAAATTTACTAATTTTTATAACATCATGATTAAAAATGAAAGAAGCTTTCTAATATTTTTTAGACATTTATATTCTTTTTGTGATTAAATTACTGGTTAAAATAATAGACAAAAATATTCAGTTTTAAAATGGGAAATTCAAATTTTGTTTGTAATTTTAAGCACTTGAAGAGTTGACTTGGTATGGGAACTCTTAATCATATCACATGCTACTAATTTTTAACAAATATCTTTCTCTCTTTCTCACCATATATGATTGTTTTTAAAATATATAACTATAAATTTTAGAAATATGAGAAGTTATAGAAAATTATTTTTCAGATTTATTCAAACTAATTCAGTTACCAAATTTTCTGGCATTTCTTCATAAATAATGATATTGATTTTTATAATAGTTAACAAAACTATATTCTCATATCCTTCTAATGAAAAAGAGTTACTGTATATCAAATATATTCAGAATAAATCAAAGTAATTTTTGTTTTTAAATTATATAATAAGATGTAAGCATAAATTATAAGACAAAGTCAACTTCTGGCATTGATTTTAAATAAAAAAATGACATTTTCTCATTAGCAGATTCATTTCACGAAGTGAGGGTATATTTTGTCTGCTAACCATTAGTTAACATTAATGATCTTCTAAACAGCATTTGCCAATTTTTTATTTTGTTTGGTGATCACAACTATGTCTTTTTATAGTTTATCATTAGGACATTTCTTGAGTGATATTGCTAATGAGAAAGTATCTAAAAATCATTATGCAGCTGAAGAAACATTCCATAAAACTACAGAAGATAAACTATTTTCTGTTTGTGACTGTAATTTAGATTTTTTAGTCATGTTAATTCTACATTTTTTTTTTTTTTTTCAAAAATATGTTTTAGAAGACAATAAATTTGTGACTGTAATTTAGGTTTTTTAGTCATGTTAATTCTACATTTTTTTTTTTTTTCAAAAATATGTTTTAGAAGACAATAAATTTGTTTCAAAAGATAATACCTTTAAAGGGAAAACACTCATTTTAAAGAAATATCTTCAAAAGAATATATACATTTGAAAGACATATTTTCAGAAAAATATATACAACTAAAATATGAAATATAGCTTGCTATACAGAAGGTTGTGCTGGAGATAAAAGTTGTCTATTGTTTTCTGTGTCATTATCATGTATGTTATCTTGATTCCTCTGTCTGGCATCTTCAGTCTGGTTAGCTGACTTACAACACTGCAAATTTGATATATGTTTCGCTGCTGCTTTTCCTAAGCTCCACATAAATTTACAATACTGAAATGCAGCAAAAGCGCCTAATACTAACCCAAGAGTTGCTAACAAGGTAGTCGCAATGTCATAGTTTTCTTCAGGATTTTCTATAGGCCCTGTGCACAGCACGGGTGTTGAGAAAGTTCGCAAAAAAAATGTTAATGTTAATAATATCCCTAATAAAAATAATAGGAGTTTTGTACAAACATTTCCAGTATTTCTTTGATTTTCAGGTATGATTTCTTCTTGTATATTTCCAGTGTCATTTGGAATTGCAGGTAAGCTTTCTTCTTGTAAACTTTCAGGATTTATCTGCTGAAAATCATCTTCTTCTGTGAATTTAGTTTTGTAGTCGTTTAAAGATTGTGTTAATAATATTCTGTATACTATAGAAGCAGATGCAATAATTGAATAAATAGTTCCAGTTGTTGGATTATTGCCAAATATGTGCTTATTAGCAAATAAGCCCATTCCATGAAAACGCAATCCCATTACTGTTGTGTTAGCCAAAGATCGTAAAGCCACAGCAATTCCTTTTCTTGTACAAAATATATTACAGAACACAGTTTTTTTGTCATTTCTTGACAGCTTAAAAAAGTTTACAATTCTTTTAGGCGTAGCAAATATATAATTACCATATTGTAAAAGTAACACAGTCATTTGTCCTAAAAACATAGTAAGACCAAGAGCTATGTCATAATCAAAATTTCTCAACTTAAGGCCAATCCATGGTGAAAGAGAAATAACGAAAAAAGAAAATAAGAATACTAATAAATTAAGCAGAAACGGTATAATTTTAATTTCTCTATATTTAAGCTCCCGAAATCCACTCTTAATTTCTTTAACGAATTTTTCTCGCTTCTTCTTTACATCAAGTATTGTTGCAATGGTAAGCAATGCATCTGAGTAGCTTAACACTTGGGTTACGATATTTAAAGTTTGAATTATTTTATTAGCGGTATCTGCAGATAATGATGGAAATAAATACCTTTTCAGAGGATCTAAAATAGATTCTGAAGTAGAAGATCCAGTGAATATTGAATATCCAATCTCAGACCATGCTGCCAATAAAAACAAGATCACATCCACTACTATTATCAATTTTGTATAACCCTTTGCGTCGGGTTGATTAATCAATTCAGTACTTTCTTCCATAATAACTAAACGTTTTTAATAAAATGCTACGATCCTCCAAGTTACGGACATTCATATTAATCAGTATCATGCATATTATAAACACATTTGTGCGAGAAATTATCTGTGAGGAAGTGACTCATAGCTTCGCGATAATTTTCACTTTCGAATTTTATTTTCTCGCTAGCGGTTACAGTTAAATATAAATGACGGTTCTGGACTCCTCCTCTCAGTCCTTGAAAAATCACAACGAATCATTTTGGATAGATAGAAATTTAGAAAAAAACTTTCTGCCAGTTTTGGGAATATTCTAACTAAGATTCAATTAGGATTTTACTCGTTTCGTACACTGAAAGGGGAAGAACAGAGAAAAAAATTAAATATGAGAAAAGAATATGCAAGCCTATTTGCACATAATTGCGTTCGTTTCGCTTATCGTCAGTTTATTTCAAAACATAATTGTTATGAATAAGTTCACAAAAAAGTTAATCGGACTGTATATATCACTTGTTTATTTTACAACACTTTGAAATAGAAGGAATGCCGTCCACGTGACGACACAGCTCACATCACTCCAAGGACTGTAGCAATTAATAAAACAAAAAAAGGAATAGAATACAAATCACATAAGTTATAAGTTGAAAGTTCGTTACCATAGCAACCAGAATTGAATCATTAGGCAGCAACGCCATCTATTGTTGCAAAGACACACTAGTAATTCGTTTGGTAACAAAAAATACTAAAAGCCCCGGCCTTGAAGCCTTCTAAGGGTTCAAAAAAGACAAATAGTTAAAGCATACATAATAACATTAACAAAAAAATTAATTGAAAATATAACTAAAATTAAAGTTCAATAATATGAAAAAAGTCAATAGTTCATAGTTCATATTAGTCATGATTGGGGATAAGACACAATTTAGTAACAGCTCGTTTGAAATCACCAGCGGCTGTATGGATTGTAGCCACTCGAACTTTTTTATCGCTACCTGGATGAATTAAGGGAATTCTTCTAATTTTCCATTGGTTTGGAGGCAGTTGTTCGTTTTTGATCAGAACTAAATCACCACATTTTAGATTTGGAGACGCACGAAACCACTTAGCACGTTGTTGAAGTGTTAAATATTGTGCACACCATCGTTTCCAAAAATGTTGCACAGTCTGTAACTTTGAAGTTGATAGATCACTGACTAACTCCAAGTGTACAGCTTTTGTTGAGAAACACACAAAAATGGATACGTAACACTTGAAAGTGTTTGTTCTTCTCCCAACTTGGGACTTAATAGAATATGGACCAGCATAATCAACACCGGTGACTGCAAAAGGTCTTGATGGTTGAACTTTGGGCGAGAGTAAATCACCCATTATCTGGGTTACAGTCTTGCCTCGATTTCTAATACAAGGAATACATCTGTGAATAATCTTTCTCACTACGCTTCTCACCGCAAGAATCCAAAACTGCATTCGTAAAGTGCTTATTAATAACTCTTGACTAGCATGCAAATAATTGACATGGTAATGAGTTACGATGAGATTAGTGACATGTCCTTCCTTTGGAAGCAAAATAGGATGTTTGCTATTTTCAGGAATGTTTGCATTTTTTAAGCGACCACCTACTCGAATGACGCCTTCTTCATCAAGGAAGGGAGTTAATTGTATTACTCGGCTGCTCACACCTTTTAATTCTCTCGATGTTTTTAAATAAGAGAGCTCTTGAGGAAAATATGATTCTTGGACATTTTTTATCACTGTTTTTGTAGCTAATCGAAGCTCATCGGTTGTCAGAAAACCTCTCAAACGATTTTCGGAAAAGTTTCGACAGTTGTAAATAAATCTTAGGCATAATGTAACTGTACGACGTAATTTTGTCCAAGATGAGTACCGTTTAAAAATGTCATTTTCCTTTACCGCACAAAATACTGAAATGCAAGTTTTTCTTTCTTCTCTACGAACTCCTTCATAATCTACATCAGCAAGATGTTCACTCTGGGTTCCGCTTTCCATTGATAAGGTTCCTGCTTACATTAGGAATTGTATTCTGTATTTTAGCAACGCGGTTTGCAATAAAGGGAACCCAACGATATGGTTCTGCAGAAATCCAGGACAGTACAGCAGTTGAATCTATCCAGGCCAAAACTTTACGTATAGGAAACTCTAAATGTTCTAACACTGATTTAAGCAAATTCACTAACAAAACTGCGGCGCATAACTCTAATCGAGGTAATGATTGCACTTTCAGAGGGGCAACTCTTGTTTTTGATGTTAAGAGTGTTACTTTGATGTCCAAATTACGTGACACTGAACGCAAATAAATTGCTGCACAGTAGCCTTTCTCGGAGGCATCACAAAAAGCACAGATATCAATATAGTTCACGTCAGGAATCAAAACAAATCTCGGTATTTTTAATTGTTGAATAAGATGTAAATCATTTCGGAAAATCTTCCATTTGTTAGCAATCTCATCACTAACAGGTTCATCCCACGATAAATGGAGTTTCCACATGTCTTGTATCAAGATTTTGACATAAATAATACAAGGAGCAAGCCAACCCAATGGGTCAAATATTTTCGCTAAATCAGAAAGGATATCTCTTTTAGAGTATTTAAACTTTTTCACCAGAAATGGATACGGAAAAGTTAAAGTAGTCTTCACGGGGGTTCCAATTAATTCCTAAAACTTTGATTGAGCTATCGTCTTGAATTTTCATAGCCTCAGAATCATTTCTCAACTCCTGGGGTATATTCTCTAACACTGACAAGTCATTGGATGACCATTTACGCAGAAGAAATCCTCCACGTTCTAACATTTGCAAGAGTTGATTTACTAGATTTTTGCACTCTTCAGTGTTTTGAGCACCTACCAAACAATCATCTACAAAAAAAAATTTTGAAGTACAGCCTTCGAAGCTAAAGGATAGTTATTCTGCTCATCGTAGGCAAGTTGGTATAAAGCACGAGTAGCCAAATATGGAGCCGAGGCAGTGCCGTATGTGACAGTATTAAGTCGAAATTCTTGAATAGGATCACTTGGACTGTCCCGCCAAAATATCCTTTGAAAGTTTCTATCTTTTTCATTAACTAGAATTTGTCTAAACATTTTCATGATATCAGCTGTGACAACTACTGGGTAACATCTGAATTTGACCAAAACTGGAAACAGCTCTTGTTGTATTCTGGGACCTGTCATCAATATGTCGTTAAGAGATAGTCCTGATGAAGACTTACTAGTAGCATTAAATACCACACGTATTTTACTCGTAGAGCTAGATTCCTTAATTACTGCATGATGTGGCATGTAGTATGCCTGACTTGGGGACTCTGAACTACGGACTGGTTCCATGTGCCCGAGATCCAAGTATTCCTTCATGAAATGTTTATACATATCATATGTATCAGGAGATCTTAAGAGATTTCTCTCTAAAGATTTAAATCTTTGTAAAGCAAGATCTTTAGAATTACCCAACCTTGAAGGGTTATCCTTAAATGGAAGTTTCACTACATAACGACCATTTTGATCACGGAAGTGTGTTGTTTTAAAGAACTCTTCACATTTTTTATCTTCACTTGAAATACGTTTGACTTCAGGAATGGAGTCTAAAGACCAAAATCTTTCAACTAATTCGTTTGTATTCAACTGAAGATTATTCACTGTAAAAGTGTTAGTTAGATTCGAATCATCAGTAATAGTGTTCCCGGAAATGATCCAACCCAACTGAGAACAAATTGCAAAGGGTAATGATTCTCCTCTCTTTATGATGTCTCCCTTAAGCATAGTAAAAAATACATTTACACCTAACAAAATATCTATAGGTTTTCTTTCATAGAACTTAGGATCAGCTAAGACTAGATCGTCAAAATGATTCGCAATTTTAGAAGGAAGCGACACGTTAGGCACATCTGAAGTTATCCTTGGAATCACGAATGCATATGTTCGAAATTTGGAATTTGACTCAAAGTGCGGGGTAAAAATTAATTCCACTTCTCCACTTGTTACAGTGTTGAACGAACCAAGGCACGATACTTCAATTTTTTTGTTAAATCTACCTAACTTTAGTTTACTGACACACTCTTCACTTATAAAGCTGGCTTCACTGCCACAGTCTAGTAAAGCCCTGCAAGGGATGGCTTTACCATTGGAATCACTAACTTTAATGAGAGCAGTACACAGTAATACACGTTTTGCTTCACCTTTAGAATAACTAAATTGTCCTGTACATGTTGTGGCATTTGTAACGACTTCATTCTTTGGTAAGAACACTTCGGCTCTGGGGGAGAGTGAGGAAGTTTGTTTTGGTTTCTCATTTTCACTAGTTTTGATATTTCGATCAAAATGAAGAACAGTATGATGAGGTAACTTACACGTCATACATTTATGTAAACTACGACAGTTTTTCACTAAATGAGGCTGAGAAGATAAACAATTAAAACAAAGTTTGTGTTTATTAACAAATTCGATATTCTTATTTGGACACTTAAGTTTAAAAACTTACCACATTTGTGAAGCGAATGATCTTCCTTGCACATTATACAACTGTTTTTACTCGAAACTAAAGAAGTTACTTTGGAATTAGAAAATTTCCTAAAATCTTTAGATTGGTTTCTACTATTCTGAAGGGTTCTAGCATGGTCTTTTAGAAACTCAAGTAAATTATCTAAAGTACCTAATTCATCTTTTTTCAAAGTTCTTTCCCACCAAAATTTTATGTTTTTGTCTAATTTCTCAGTTATCAGATAAACAAAAAGAGCATCAGAAAGATCAGAAACTTCTAGCTTAAAAGTTCTCAAAGAGCGTACACATTCATTCACTACATCAACACAATGTAAAATAGCTTGAGCTGAATCAGAAACATTTGGCAAATTAAACATTTTACGGATTAATACATTAGTTAATTCTCTTTTATTAGAATAACGTTCCTGTAAAAGTTGCAACGCTATATCATAATTAGCATCAGAAATAGGATTTGACTCAATAATAGACAGAGCCTTTTTTTTTTCAAAGAAGCCTGTAGGCAACAATTATTATTGGTCATAATAACTACAACTACTTCTACTAGATAATGACTACTACTTTCACTTCACCTTTAGTTTCAGTTTAGTTACAGAAGGTTGTCATGCCATAAAATCAGTAAGGAGTTAACGAGGGCTACAAAGAATAAAAAAGATGTTATATATGGAAAATATTGATTCTTGCTTTTTGATTTTTGCTATTTAAATTATTATAAAAAGAACTTAGCAAGCAACCACATACTTGGTGACCTCGGAATTATTGATAAAGATGTCAGAAAGTGAAGAATCGGCGATTAAAGAAGAAATACTCGTAGCACGGGTAAGTGTTAAAATACCTCCCTTTTGGGCTGAAAAGCCAGAGATATGGTTTTATCAAGTAGAAGCACAGTTTTCTATTTGTGGAATAACTGCCGAGGAAACTAAATCCAACTACTTAGTATCGCAATTGGAAGCAAAATTTGTTGAAAGTTTATGGGATATTATAAGTGACAATAGCAAAACCAAATATACTGCTGCTAAAGAACGTCTCTTGAACACTTTTAAAGAAAGTGAAAATAAACGTTTACAGAGACTGCTAACAGGCATAGACTTGGGAGACAGTAAACCTAGTCAACTTTTACAAAAAATGCGAAATCTTGCTACCGATGGCATTTCGGATAAAGTTCTTAAAACACTATTTCTGCAGAAAATGCCAGATACTGTGCGCAATATTTTAATCGTTAGTGATGAAGATATCGAAAAACTAGCTCTGATGGCGAATCGTATCATCGAAATGCAACCAAAACAAGAACTATACTGTGCCAGCAGTATTGTTTCTCCAGGAACAGATGCTATTGCTGAATTACGACAACAAATTGCAGCTTTGGATAATAAATTCGAAAAACTAACTGTCACAAGAAATTCTCGTTCTCGCTCAAGAAATAACAGTCGATCATCTAATAATCGAAGTAAGTCTCGGAGCCGTTATAACCCTAATGGCAAGTACTGTTATTTCCACTTTCGTTTTCGAGAAAAGTGTTTTCCTGATAGATGCAAACCCCCCTGTGCATGGAAAAACAACTCCGCGGAAAACGAAAATCAGCAGTGAATTAGCGGCAGACTCTGCTGCTGTAAATAAAGAAAATTGCCGTAAATTCCGCTTATTTACCACGGACAAAAACACAGGTTTACATTTTCTGGTTGACAGTGGAGCAGAGGTAAGCCTTATTTCTCGTACTTCTAAACACAAACTTATTAGTGACTATAAATTATATGCTGCAAATAATACAGAAATTGATACTTTTGGTACAGAAGTTTTAATTCTTGATCTTGGTTTACGCCGAGAATTTCAATTTCCATCTATTGTAGCAAAAATTAGTAAACCCATATTAGGTGCAGATTTTTTAAATAAGTTCAATTTATTGATTGATATAAAGCATAAAAGGCTAACTGATGGTGTGACGAACCTTGCAGTTTATGGTGACATCGCACCCATCTCTATTAATGAAACTGTAAATACAACGGGCAGCTTATGTAAATATTTTGATTTATTTGCTATGTATCCTAGTATAACAAAACCAAATTTTTCTTATTTCTACTGTAAAGCATAATGTGAAACATCATATTATAACTAAAGGACAACCTGTAAGTTGTAAAGCAAGACCATTAGACTCTAAACAGTTGGAAATAGCTAAAAGAGAATTCAAATATATGCTGGACAATAACATCATTAGTCCGTCCAGTTCAGAATGGGCAAGTCCCCTACACATAGTGACAAAGAAAGACGGTTCTTTCCGCCCATGTGGGGATTACAGAAGACTGAAGGATTTAACTGTACCTGATCGTTATCCCATTCCTCGAATTCAAGGTTTTCAACATATTTTAACTCATAAAACTATATTTTCTAAAATTGATCTCTTTAAAGCGTATTTTGACATTCCAGTAGCAGATGAAGATATAGAAAAAACTGCTATTATCACACCTTTTGGTCTTTACCAATTCAATGTCATGAGTTTTGGTCTCAAAAATGCCCCCGCGACCTTTCAGAGGTTCATCAATGAAGTTTTTTATGGCCTAGACTTTGTGTTTCCATATTTGGATGATGTGTTGATTGCCTCTTCTTACGAGGAAGAACATCGTTTACATCTTAAAACAATTTTCCAGCGTTTAGATAAATATGGTCTCCGAATTAATATTAGAAAATCAGTTTTGGGAGTACCTGTAATAGACTTTTTGGGCTATCAAATATCTGCTGAAGGTTCAAAACCTCTACCTGAAAAAATTAAAGCTATCACAGAATATCCGTTTCCAGAAACTATACACCAACTTCGTTCCTTCTTAGGACTGATCAATTTCTATCGTAATTACATTAAAAATGCCGCAGAAACTCAAGCTCCTCTTCATGAACTTTTGAAAGGATCTACAAAAAAAAAAAAAAAAAAAAAAAAAAAAAAAAAAAAAGATCGACGTAAAATACCATGAACCAATGAAACCAGAAAAAGTTTTGAAAAAATGTAAACAAGATATTGCTCAAGTAGCGTTGATGGCCTACCCCAATTCGGATTACCCTCTGGCACTTCTCACAGATGCATCCGATTTGGCTATTGGGTCAGTTATTCAACAAAAAGAACCCAATGGATGGAAACCTATTGCATTTTTTTCAAAAAAGTTTAATGATGCCAAGAAAAATTATAGCGCTTACGATCGCGAGCTTTTGGGTATATATTTATCCGTTAAACACTTTAAACATTTACTTGAAGGCCGCGATTTTACTATTTATACGGATCATAAGCCCTTAACGTTTGCTTTTAAGCAGAATCATAACAAAGCATCTCCCAGACAACTCAGACAGTTACAATATATCTCACAATTCTCTACTAACCTATGCCATATAAGTGGTCAAAACAATGTGGTTGCAGGCAGCCTATCTAGGATTGAGGACATCGATTCACCTGTTGTTGATTTTGACCTGATAGCAGATGCACAAATTAATGATGATGAACTGCAACAGTTGAAATTACATTCCAAATCATTGCATATTAAACAGCACCAATTACCATCAGGAAAACTCTTATATTGCGATACCTCTACTTCTAATATCAGACCATTCATACCTCAAACTTTTCGGATAAAAATATTTAATGCAATTCATGGTTTAGCTCACCCTGGAATCCGAAGTACTGTAAAAGAGATTACCAAAAGATTCATTTGGCCGGATATAAAAAAAGATGTTAAACAGTGGGCTCAAACTTGTATCGATTGTCAGAAAAATAAAGTAACTAAACATACAAAATCAAAATATTCTCAATATCAAGCACCAGACGAAAGATTTAGTGTTGTGCACATTGATTTAATTGGGACTTATTCACCTTCTAATGGAACACTTATTGTTTGACGTGTATTGATCGGTTTACCTCTTGGATGGAAGTGGTACCGTTATCAAATATCACAGCAGAAAATATAGCAAGAGCCTTTTATGAACATTGCATAACACGATTTGGTGTACCTTCTTGTGTTATTACTGACAGAGGAACTCCATTCATTTCGGAACTCTTTCGAAATTTGGCTTTGCTATGTGGAGTAAAAGTAAACCATACAACTTCTTACCATCCTCAGAGTAATGGGAAAATTGAACGTCTACACCGTACTTTAAAAGCAGCTATTAGATGTCATAATTCTCTTCATTGGACAGAAACATTACAACAGTTCTTATGGGTTTGCGAGCTGCTCTACATGAGGACTGTAAGTATACAATAGCTGAAATGGTTTATGGCAAAACTATTAAATTACCTGGCGAATTCTTTGAAGAATCAAACATGCCAATATCTAATGATAATTTTGTAAGTAATCTTCGAAATCAGATGGCCCTTTTAAAGCCCTATCAATCCAAATGTAAACAAAAGATTTTCATCCCAAAAGATTTGTACACATGCTCGCACGTGTTTCTGCGGGTTGACAGAGTAAAAAAACCTTTGGAGCCCCCATATGAAGGACCCTTTTTGGTACTGCAAAGAACCCCGAAATATTTTCTTCTATCAATTAAAAATAAACAAGTTAGTATCTCTGTGGATAGGTTAAAACCAGCTTATGTGTTACAACCTAATGAACTTTTGTCTCCAACTTCAAAAAGTGATCATACATCTGTGCCAAGTAAGCAAACATCAGTGCCAAGTCAGCAACTAGAACAACCTAAAAAATTAACACGATGTGGAAGACAAGTAAAACTTCCAGTTCGTTTCAATGACGTTATTGACTCTTCTTGAACTTATAACTCTTTCATATTAATTTAAAACTTAATTATGTTTTTCTTTTGTGTACATAATTTCAATTTATATATTTGTATCAGTGTTGTTTGTATAGATATTTGTATCTTCTCTCCCA